AGGCACTATCTTGGAAACAGCCAGGAGGAAGAAGAAATAGAAAAGAGTCTTCACAGTGAGGAACAAAAACAATTTGATGAAGACAGTATGGAGAAAGTAAGGTATGGGGAAAAGGAAGAGTATAAGAGCCATCTCCCTGCAGAGACTGAGAAGAAAGCCACAACTTCATATGGCCCTTTCTACCCACGTCTCCAGTGGAAAAGCAGGCATTTGGAAAAAAAGGACAATACAAGAGGTCAGATTCGGGAGAGCGAAGAGGAAGGCAGACCCACCCTGAGCAAAAAGAACTTCTTTCCTGAATATAACGACTATGACTGGTGGGAGAAAAAGCAACTTCTGGATAGCCTGAATCGTGGGCATAGCGAGAAAAGGAATCTGGGAAAGATCCGCAAATTTGATATGAAGAGGCAATACAGCAGAATGGATCAACTTGCCCAGCTTCTGAATTACAGGAAGAAATCTGCTGAGTTTCCAGAACTATACAGTTCTGGAGAAGACATGAAAAAGCGTCATGTTATCCGGAGTGACAAGGGAAATCTGAGCCAGAGGCCCCTGACAGAGGAGGAGGTAAGTGCTCGAGTCTCTTTGAAAAGTCAAGTGAAGCTGATGTTAACTTAACATGCTCAGCCCTTAGCACCACAGGAATGTTGGTAGAATTGCAAAGGGGAATGATCACAGAGACGGTGCTGATGTCTGTTCCCTCCAGGAATGGATCTTCAGCTGATATGAATCAGTGTTGCCTGACAGGATACCTTGGAACTACACAGCTGTGCCCTTTTTAAAATCATTTTAGAGAGATAGTATAGGTGTCTGCACAGGCTCCTGTTCTTCCACAACAGGACCTGGGGAAAGGGTATCTTTCACTTAGCAGGGTCCTAGCCAGCACAGGACCTTTCAGAGTGCAACTGCAAACTGTGTCCAGAACAAGAGCTGAAATAATCTATCAACTCTACAAAACAGTTGCTCCTGGCTTGATTTAAATCTAGACCTGTTGACTGCTTGACTTCTTGAGTGTAATGAAGAGTAGAATTTGGCCCATAGTTGTCTTGAAAAATTCCTGCATATCATTCCTATTATTTCCATATTTGCCATTTAAATGGCCATTCTGTACAAACCAGAATGTCAGCACATATGTGGTGGATGCAGCAGTGCATGAAGCACCTGATATTTTTGGTAGCAGAAGTTAACTGAGTTGTGTTCACGTGAAAATAGAGAACAGTCCTCTTAATACTCATCGGTAGGTGCATGAATTTTTTCCTGGGAAAACTGATTTTGTGGGTGTGAATTTCCTCTTCATTCATATTATGCTTGTGTGCATCATCAGATAGAACCACTGAGATCACAACAAGCTTATGCTGACATCTAAAGAGTTTGAGCAGGCCTTTTTCCCAAATGGATGCGATTTCAAGTGCTAGAGGACTAGTAGCATGGGAAATGCTATAAACTACAAGTGTTCTTAAAATACTTGGTATAATAGGGCCATCAACCTTTGAAACACTAACTCCAGTTAGGCACCATCTCAGATATCAAGGATATTTGGTGTAATCCTTGGGCACAGGTAGGGTAGCAGGCAGAACAGGAGACTACACAGAGCTAGGGAGGTTGCTATATGTTAGAGAGTTGAAGTCTGGGTATAGTACAGCCTTTTTAATTAAAATATGTTATCATTTATAAAACTATATCAATTATAAAATGTATCAGTTATAAAATGAGACTGATCACCCCCTGCAGGTGATATAATGGATGACATGGCACTGCATACCTCAGGTATAACTGAACACCTAGCAGTGCTAGGTGATTTCCATTATTTTATAAAAGTGCACGTGAATGTTAAAGCCTCCCCGTTCACCTAGGAAAATGACAATTTTTATGCTGGTATGTGTAAGATTCCAGGAACTGGTACTGATAATAGTAAATAGCAGGTAATACAAGGAAATCCTTCAGAGGTTCAGGTATTTTGTGTCTGGAAGGTAAAACTGGCAAGTTCCTGCTTATTCATATACCTAATTCATTTTTTTCACTTTTTTATTAAACATGATTTTTTAGCAACCTAAGATAGAATTCTCCGTCCTTTTAGGCACCTAAATGGAAGTTTTCTACCCTGGGTGTTTTTGGCCCTGCCTCTGCACGGTGGGTGCATAAGCCTGTGTGTATAGACTGAGCATGCTCAGCTGACTATACACTGTCCATCTGGGCTAAGGACAGAAGTTACACATAAACCAGTTTAA